TCCAAAGGTGTTTCTTTGTTTCCCCATTCATTCTTCTTGCCTGACCTGAGCTCTGGGGGTGCCCGGGGTTGTGGAGGTCCCATTGTATTCCTAAAGCTGCCATAACCCCCCTGAAGGATCTTTCCTGTAAAATGAGTTCCCCTGAGTCTGTTGCTTCCATAATCCCTTTTCTTGGAAATAATATTTTTTAGAAATCCCTTGATAACTGATCCAGTGATTGCTGAGGAAGTCAGAATTGCTTTTGGCACCCTGTTAGCTGCCCTGGTATCACCAGAAGATATTTAAGCCTTCCTTCTGAGGGCATTTCAGTGCCAGGCTCTTACAAGCACAGCCCACTCTGCAGGTTGAGCTGACATGGGGGCTGTGACCTGGGCTTTGTCTAATTCCCTTTCCTTAACAATAGCGAGTCTTGTAATTCTTTTCCCTTCTGCTGCCCTTGAAAGCCCATCCATAAACACATTTTCTCCCTTAGGCCAGGGAATGTCTCATAAATCTCTCCCAGCCCTGGTCTGGAGCTCTGTCACTGGAATGCAGTCGTGGGTTTCTTCCCAGCCCTCTCTCCAGGCTGTTCAAACAGGAGGCTGGGTTAAACCCTTCCCCTCTCCTCAGTTCTAAATCCTCCTGTGCCACTGAACAAGTTTCATTCTGTAGTCACCAAGCTCTGCTCATCTATTTAGAGGCTCTGTTGGGATACATAGCTTTAACTTGATGCCAGACTTGAACATAGGAGATCTTCCTGCCATCAGTTTTTGGGCCTCAGTTCCCATTAAAGCTGGTGCAAGTTTTGTTTACTTTCTCGTGTGCATACTGTAACATTGAGACTATCTGGGGTTAAAAAATCACACAATGTTCTGGCTAGAACAGAGAATCCTCAATCCAGCTCCTGCAATTCCCTAATTATCCTAAGAATTGCTGCAGCTCCTTTTTAGTCCTGGGAAACATTATTTCTGAGATTCCCCAGCCCCTCTCTGGGTCAATACACCACAAACCTTCAGTCAAAATAGGTCCCAAATATTTAACCTTTTTATCCACTATTTGCACTTTTTTCCCCAAGTACTCAAAGATGCTTTTTAGCCTGAAAATTAAGCAATTGCACAGAGGCTTCTTCTTCTTCTCCTCCTGATTGGAGCAAGTCACCTACATCCTGCATTAAGCCAGTCCCTGGGGCTGGGGTAAATTCCTTTGATATTTCCTACAAGGCTTGCCCCAATCAGGTCGGTGCTTCTGTGCATCCCTGCAGAAGGACCGTCCTTGTCTTCACCGTTTTTCCTTCTACCTCTTGTTCCCTCTCAAAGGCAGAATTCTGTTTCCATACTCCGTAAGTGGACATCCCCAGAAAGCATCTTTTCCATCAACTTCTGAATGGCAGCAGTGTGAGGAGGAGACCTGGTTCAGGATGGTGTAAGGATCTGAGACTGTGGGGTGCCTCGGTTTAATAATCTCATTTATTATTCTTAGCTCCTGCAGCATTCTGTGGATTCCATCTGATTTCTTGTTTGGCAGGATAGGAGCATTCTAGGGAGACATCCCTGGCTCCCAAAGCCCTGCCTTTAGCAGAACTCACTGACAGGCTGTGAACCCTTCCTTCCCTCCCTTGGAACAGGGTATTGCTTTTAGATACCTCTTGTCCTGGTTGCTTCAGGGTAATTTGGAGAGGCTCCATATCTAATTTTCCCTATTTCCCTGGGGCTGCCCACACTTCTGGGTTCACTTCAGCACAGGCCCTGCAAGACATTTGTCATGGAGTTATAACGGTGTTAGCCTCCGTTTTACATTTTAGAATATAAATTTGTATTCCCACATTAGCCATCTAATCCCTTCCCAGTTACATTACAATCACAATTAGGGGGAAGCAGAAATCCATGAGTTTCAAATCTGTCTCCCACATCTGCAAATAATGGTTGAAAAAACCACACCTACTCATCTTTCGCACTTATCCTCTCAATTATCAAAGACATTTTTGGCATTTTTCCCCCCTTAGGTCTAAGATTCAGAATGGATTGAGGCCCCTCAGGAAAGGCCTCCTCTCTATCCATATCCACCCTGAATGTTCCCAAGGGCTCCAGTGGGGTGGGTCCCTGGTGTAATGGGAGCTCTGACACCGCTAAGAATCCGTGTCCATCAAGGGCTGGACTTGCTCCTGCTGAGGGTGCTCCTGTCTGTGCTTGCAGTGTCCTTGTGCCCTGCAGCTGGAAGGCTGATTCCTTGCCAGGGGCTGTTTGGGTGGGCTGTCCCCTGGCCAGGCGGGCAATGCCTGTGCCAGGTCCTTGTGGCCGAGGGTGTCCCCTGGGTGCTGGGGCCCCCTTGGGCCCTGGGCTTGATCCCTCAGGGGCTGTAGGAACTGTGCCATGGCCTTTGCCTTCAGCTTGGCCTTTTGCTCATCCCTTCTTGCATTCACCTGCTGTGCCTTTGTGAGCAAGTGCTGCAGGGGCTTCTTCTGGCCCTCCTGCAGCCCCCTCAGTGCCTGTGGGTGCTCTGGCAGCTGCTGAGCTTTCTGCAAAATCCTTCCTTTCTCCAGGGACCCAAACAAAATCCTTAAAAGAAAATCTCAATCCTGACATGTCTAATCCGCATTTCCCAGATGTTCCTCCTCCTCGCTGTGCTGAGGCTTCCCTCCCCAGCCCGTATCCCAGAGCCGGTCTCTGTCCTGCCGCAGTGTCCAAAGGCGGGCAGGGCCGGCAGCTCCACGGGGCCGGGCAGCGGCCGGGGCGTCCCGTAGCCTCCTGGGGGCCGGGGGCCACTGCCGGCCCTGCCCGGGGGGTGCTGGGCTCAGGCAGCGCCCGGCGCTGAGCCCCGGCTGCCCCACAGCCCCGGCCCGGCCCCACAGCTCCCCACAGGCCCCCAGCCCGTGCTCCCGGTGCCGCAGCTCTGCGCCCGCTCCTGCCGCTCCCAGCTCAGAGAAACCCCCTGAAATCCTGACCTCCTTCTTTTCCTGTCCTGGAAACCAGGGATACAAAGCATCTGGATTAGCTAGCAAACTTTGAGGATAAGACCCTGCTGAAAGACAACCCAGTCCTCAGTATTTTTCTCTTCCCCCTCTTTTCCATCATCATTTTTCTTACCCCGTAGATTCCTCACACTGCTTCTTGCCTTAAGCACATTCCTGCACACTCCCTTCACCCAATCCCTTCCCAGTACACCAACACCATCCATCCCCTGTTGTCTAAATCCCTTCTCGACTTCCCTTATTGCCCTCCTGGGTGTCCATGTCCTTAATTCCCTCTGGGAGAATGTGCAAACTACCTCAACATGCTCC